CTGCGTCGAGAAACAACAGATCATCCTGCTTGTGTTCGACTGGTATTTGAGGGACCAAGACTTGGCCGCACTTTCCTCTGCATAATTAAGGTACAGTCCAGCGTACAGGATCCCACTGTTAGAAACACTCCCAAGCCATTCTGTTGTGATGATGTGATTTACTGTTGTATTTTTTAACAGTGGAAGCCGGGTCTCCGTGGACGTCTGGAGCCGGCTGCGATGAGGTGTGGGCGAGTCACTCTACCGCCGCTGTGACCCGCTGTGCCGTCTGCAGTTTAGCCTGCGGCAACTCACGGTAACCAGCGTCATCAGAGGTTAGCGTCTGATAGGGCCTTTGGCTGCGGGGGGCTAGGGTTCAGGGGTTAGGTTCCCATTCCCACCCAGAGTCCTTCACACATTCACAACACATTCACAACACATTCACAACACACGACCGGTACGACAGTCGCGGCGTAAGGCGGAACGGGACTAAAGCGAGTCGCGACGGCGCGAGCGGCGCGAGCGTGGTTGTTGTAAGCTCATCGTCTTTGGAAGAGAGGAAACAAAACTGAAGATGTTGAAGACGCATTGGCTTGCCGGTAATCAGCGCCATTTTCCTGTTTTGCCGTTTGACTGTCGGATTGTTTCCCCTCTCATGGTGGTTTTGTTCGCAGGATATGTACTCGCTCACTGGAGCGGACAGCAGGCTCCTGCTCGCCCTGCACGGCTGCTGGCTCCAGCCGAGAAAAAGACGGTTAGTTGGTGTGGTGTGGGATGAAGTCGCAGCGTATTTGATTATGTGTTGGGTCTCATTGACAGTCGGCCGCCGGCCGGACCGCGCCGCGACTCTGCCTGCTCGTTTCCCGTGGACAGCTGGACCAGCTCGTGGCAGGTACGTCTCTAAAGCATTGTTTGTTCCCCGTTTGGCCCGCTTGCAGTGGCCCCGGTCATTCCCTGCTGCCGGCGCGTCGACGTCGCTCTGGCCTGCCCTCGCTGCCCCCCCCCCCCCCCCCCCTCGGGACCGGCGAGGTGCAGCGCCGGCGAGTGGCTTGGCGGGCGTGTCGTGTATGTGACATTGCGACCGGGAGACCCCGAGGGCAAAGTTTTGGTTTACTTCAACGGCACCTAGGAGCCAGTCTAATGCCGTGTTCTCTGTTTAGCTGCCGCTGCCCTCAGCCGCCCTCCTGACCACTCCGCTCGACTCGGACGCAGCCTGGGAGCGTGAAGCAGTGCATCAACGCGGCCTCGCCGCTGAGGACCTCGCGTCGTGCGGCCTCGCGTCTACGAGTAAGTGACATCTTCTGTGGCTCGAGTTGGCTTGGTTAGTGTGTGGAATGATTTTAATCTAGTGTTGTTCCTGTTGCAGGACCGCGTCGGCTGCGATTGCAACAACCCACTGGTGACGTCCTGCCTGCCTCCCAGCGGATCCCACGACGTCCGCGACGCACTGCTGTTTCAGCTGGTTTACTTTGATACGTGAAACGAAACGTTTGCTTCTCCAGTTGCTTTTCTAGTTCCAGGCCATAGTTCCAGTTCCGCTCCGGTCAGCAGGAGGCAGGAGGTCACCGCGGTCAGCGAGGGACGTGAAGGCACCGGGACACCACCAGGACCATCCCAACGCCCGCCATGGAGGTCTTGAACACTAACGCTGCTTCTTCAGCTGTCTTCCTTTCAAGCAACCGGAACAATTACAACCAGTAAGTTTTTCCAGGCTGAGACCTCATGCACACATTATTCATGTACAAACAATTAGTTTACTACAAAAAGTATTTCTGATAACAGTTGTAGTAGTAACGAGAACTCTTTGAGGTGCTGTTTATGGATTGAGATGAGACTGCTTCTCCTTTCAGATGCACAGGGTGAGCCTTAGCACCACTGGAGCGAAGAGATGAGGAGCTGTTCGACTGGCGTGGGGCAGCGAAAAGGTATTTATCAAACAATCTTTCCACTCTAGCTTAAGGCTTTCATTTTTAAAAAATTACAGTGAATTATGCTTGCTTTTGTTTTGGACAATTTGTTGTTGCTGGACAATTTGTTTCTAAAGTCACATTTTTGTGGAAGCTTTCTAATTTCAAGCACTTTTGCGAAAAAAAAAATAGTTTTTATTTGCCCCATCTAAAGTAGAACACCAGCAATGTTTATTATGGTCCAAACTGTTGAAAAAGTTTAATTCCAGTTTGTCCAGTTCTTAAATTTTGCTTTCCATCTCCTCGCAAACAAATTTATTTGGTATGTATGTTCCAGATCGCATCTCAACATTGCTGCTCAACCAGATGGAAGCCATCCCACTTAACAGCAGGACAAGAGAATCATTTGACAATATAATATATCTAATTGTATCATGTCATTCATCTGACTTCTTGACTTCTTTGTCTTGGATCGTAGTATAGAGCATGGATTTTGTTGTCTTGGATCGTAGTATAGATCATGGTATATGGCTCTTTGGATTGTAGTATAGAATGGTGTTTGTTGTATTGGTTCCCGTGTATTAGTTTTTACATTTTGGTTGGATTTTGCAGGGTTTATTGCTTATATTTTGTGTTGGGTGTAGAAAAAAAAAATCTAATCTCTTCCTTATTTTCTTGACATCAAAACCATCTGCGTACTCCTGCATCATACATCATTTCATAGAGAGCAAAACTGTAAAATTTATTACTGTTCAGAATGTTAAGCATTTTTCCAATCAATTCAGTACTTCCTATTCATTTTAAATATGTAGTGAAATCATCCTATTGTCTCTTATGGATTCAGTCCCTCACTGTTGTCAACCTATGGACCTTTCAGGTATTTAGTATTAAGAATTTTTTACAATGACCTTTTCAAATTAGTCTGTCTTCAAAATTGAGGGCTGTGTTTTGCCGATAAAATGTGAAGGAAGTTTATAATATATTTCCATGGAATTTTGAAGAGTTCAAATTTATTTAATGGCATAAAAGTTCAGACTATCCTAAATCTTCTATGTAAACCCCCATCAGGGTGTCGAGCACATTTACCAGAGTTGAGCATATGCACCTTGAATGAACTCGATACTACCATTTTCTGGACATCTATATCAACGTTACTGTGCTCACTTGTATCATACATCATTAAGACCAAAGAGAAAAACTGTAGATGGTATTCGAGTTACTACGTATTTTTTACTGATAACCCATAGTTCTAAATGTACTTATTCCTTATTTTTACTAAAACTGACTTCATCTATTGTGCTACATACAAAAGATCGAAATAAATAATCTAATCTAATCTAATCTAATCTAATCTAATCATATGCTTGTAAATTGTTTCATTGGTATTGGCTGTTCAGCAATTCTCAAATGAATTGATTACTTCCTATTTAGCAATCTGTGCAAATTGTTCGACCATTTATTAAGTTTCATATTACTCTAGTTCATGTTCTGAAACTGAAATTAACCATACTGTTAAAGTACTGTCTCGTGTGGAATTGTGTGCTCCTCGTTAACATGTCAGCTAATTTTTGATATTTTGCATTTGAGACAAGGAACTCAACAAACTAGTTGGTACTGAATGTGAATGTATGTATCCTATTGTGTCTTGGAAATATAATTTATTGGAAATGCGAGGTGAACTATTTAA